AAAAAAATCCAATCCCGCAAAGGATTGTTCATTGAACTATTACAGAACCTCAAGTTGGGGAGAGGTTTCCTGCCAAGAAGATTGCCATCCAACTTTTGGCCTCTAAAAACTGGGAGAATCATTGATTTCTGAAGAAGATGATTATTATAATCCAACTTGATCGCAAAAGCATGGCTCAAGGCTCCACTGAAGGGCGAGGGATTCTTTGAGGGTAATGAACACTGGACAGTAGTGTTTGATGAATCAGCATCATTTTCTGATGATGGGTTAGTCACGGTGAACAAATTTCTTAGGCACTTACCTTTTGGAAAAGGCTCTATACCAATAATGCCAGTAGTTTCAAGCATAAATTATGTTAGCAAACTATTTCTTTATCCAGGAATGTGGGATCTTGCTAAGCTGGAAGCTAAATTTTTTTTTTTCCTATGGATCAGGGAATTGTTTTTTCAATCCCAACCAGTAACTTTAATTGTGCAGATTAGATATTATGGCACTATGATGTTGTTATTATTCAATAATCATGCTAAGAACAAGAATCACATATTCTCATTGGTAGTTTGTAATTCATATTTACGGAAGACATTTTGTGTGTGTGTGAATATTATCAACTAGATCTTCCTCTCCTTGCTCCTGAAAAATAATCAGCCGTCAATGGGGCAAGCCAATAAAACAATATGGAGAGGAGAGGGGACCTAGCCATTATATAGGAAATTATAAAGCCGGCCTATTACTGACTCCAACCCTAATTAGAGTTTATATAATTCCAGCCCACATACTTAAAATTACCACATTATAATAATATAGCCAGTAAGGTATACAACGACACAAGTGATCACTAACATATTGAGTCTAATCACAGTATCATTGCAAATCATACATCTAACCCATAAAATTCGCAATCAAATAGAAGCCCACATAATAGAATTATTCTAACATGAATGCAATGGAATTTATATGATGCAATCGGACTATAGACTCCAAAACTCAGCTTCTTCATCTGGTGGAAATGTGCTCAGTAAATGATGTAAAGGGTCGTGGACTCTGAAAATCCCTTCTAAAATCTGTATATTTATATGGAGGCTGTTTTGTGAAGTTCTTTTACTAGGTTTGGCCCTTTAATGCCGTAAGATGTATGCGATTTATTGTGTGCTTTCTGCCATAATCACGAGGAAAAGTTCTTTCATGTTTCCATAGAATGCGAACATGCTTGGATACTTGGTGACAAGTGCAGATGTGAGATCTTATTTGTCCATGGAGAGAGTTAAACAGCACCAAGTTGCTTCTACTGCTGAAATGAAATGAATGGCTCCCCAAACTGGATGTGTTGAACTCAATACTGATGTCTCTTTAAGATGGGTGCTCGGTGGATTGGGATTGGAGGGGTGATTTGGGATGAAGACCATGCTATGTTTTGTTGTTGGGCTCGTGTCGTTTTGTTCCTTGTTCAGGCAAACATTGGCCCTCACGGCAACTTCTGTTTGACTTTTCAATGGAGATACAAGTTTTCTAATAGTTAAAAGTTGTAATAGGTGATTG